GAAAGAAAGAAAGAAAGAAAGAAAGAAAGAAAGAAAGAAAGAAAGAAGAGCAAAAGGAAGGGAAACAAAGAGAAAGAAAGAAAGAGCAAGAAAGAGGAAGGGAGAGAAAGAGAGAAAGAAAGAAAGAGGAAGGGGAGAAAGAAAAAGAGAGAAAGAAAAAAAGGAAGGGGGAGAGAGAAAACTCTGTGCTATTATTTTTAATTGTTCCATTATTTATCATACACTGCTCAAAAAAATAAAGGGAACACTTAAACAACACAATGTAACTCCAAGTCAATCACACTTCTGTGAAATCAAACTGTCCACTTAGGTAGCAACACTGATTGACAATCAATTTCACATGCTGTTCTGCAAATGGAATAGACAACAGGTGGAAAGCAGAGGCAGTTAGCAAGACATCCCCAATAAAGGAGTGGTTCTGCAGGTGGTGACCACAGACCACTTCTCAGTTCCTATGCTTTCTGGCTGATGGTTTGGTCACTTTTGAATGCTGGTGATACTTTCACTCTAGTGGTAGCATGAGATGGAGTCTACAACCCACACAAGTGGCTCAGGTAGTGCAGCTCATCCAGGATGGCACATCAATGCGAGCTGTGGCAAGAAGGTTTGCTGTGTCTATCAGCGTAGTGTCCAGAGCATGGAGGCGCTACCAGGAGACAGGCCAGTACATCAGGAGACGTGGAGGCCGTAGGAGGGCAACAACCCAGCATCAGGACCGCTACCTCTGCCTTTGTGCAAGGAGGGACAGGAGGAGCACTGCCAGAGCCCTGCAAAATGACCTCCAGTGGGTCACAAATGTGCATGTGGCTGTTCAAACAGTCAGAAACAGACTCCATGAGGGCCCAACGTCCACAGGTGGGGGTTGTGCTTACATCCCAACACCGTGCAGGACATTTGGCATTTGCCAGAGAACACCAAGATTGGCAAATTTGCCACTGGCGCCCTTTGCTCTTCACAGATGAAAGCAGGTTCACACTGAGCACAGGTAACAGACGTGACAGGATCTGGAGACGCCGTGGAGAACATTCTGCTGTCTGCAACATCCTCCAGCATGACCGGTTTGTCAGTGGGTCAGTAATGGTGTGGGGTGGCATTTCTTTAGGGGGGCGCACAGCCCTCCATGTGCTCGCCAGAGGTAGCCTGACTGCCATTAGGTACCGAGATGAGATCCTCAGACCCCTTGTGAGACCATATGCTGGTGCAGTTGGCCCTGGGTTCCTCCTAATGCAAGACAATGCTAGACCTCATGTGGCTGGAGTGTGTCAGCAGTTCCTGCAAGATGAAGGCATTGATGCTATGGACTGGCCCGCCTGTTCCCCAGACCTGAATCCAATTGAGCACATCTGGAACATCATGTCTCACTCCATCCACCAATGTCACGTTGCACCACAGACTGTGCAGGAGTTGGGGGATGCTTTAGTCCACGTGTGGGAGGAGATCCCTCAGGAGACTATCCGCCACCTCATCAGGAGCATGCCCAGGCATTGTAGGGAGGTCATACAGGCACGTGGAGGCCACACACACAACTGAGCCTCATTTTGACATGTTTTAAGGACATTACATCAAAGTTGGATCAGCCTGTAGTGTTTTTTTCCACTTTAATTTTGAGTGTAACTCCAAATCCAGACCTCCATGGGTTGCTAAATTTGATTTCCATTGATAATTTTTGTGTGATTTTGTTGTCAGCACATTCAACTATGTAATGAACAAAGTATTTAATAAGAATATTTCATTCATTCAGATCTAGGATGTCTTATTTTTGTGTTCTTTAATTTTTTGAGCAGTGTATATTAATATTTTGCACTGTCCCTCACCTAGAGTGATTTTACTGCCTTTCTTTTGCCCAAGTATTTTTCAAGGTTTACATGTCAATAGTCCAGAGCATAAATACAGGTGCGTTTAACAGAGTTGAAAGGGACTATGGAGGTCTTCTAGTCCAACCTCCTGCTCAGGCAGGAAAACTCTGAGGAAGCCAAAATCTGAATAGAGGTCCTGGGAAAGGTGTCAGAATAACAGAATAGCACTTAGAAGGGACCTTGGGGGGAACTCTATACCATTTCAGAGAAATGACTGTCCAGTCTTTTGTTAAAAGCTTCCAGTGTTGGAGCACCCAGAACTTCTGGTGGCAAGCAGTTCCACTGGTTAATTGTTCTCACTGTCGGGAAGTTTCTCCTTACTTTTAGGATGCTTCTCTCTCTGTTCAGTTTCCATTTTTCTGGTGCTTTGGAAAATACATGCCCCCCCCTCTTTCTGGCAGCCCCCTAAAAGCCTGTTGCCTATCACCCTCTTGGGCAAAGCATGTGAGCCATTTCCTCCTTTCAGTGGTCCATGAAAGTACATCTATAGTACATAGATAATAAAGTCAACAAAAGGTGAACAACATTTTTACAGAACTATAGATATGTTGAGGCTGGGTGTGACAAGGAATGGCTGAGAGGGGAGGGTCCAGGCGAGGCACCCCTTGACGTGAGTGACATTGAGTTGGCCACACCCAGTCATACAACCACCAAGCCATGCCCACAGTCATATGACCACCCCAGTCACATGGCCACCAAGACACACCCACCCAGTCATGAGACCCTAAGCCACGCCCACCAAATAAACCACGCCCACAGAACCAGTAGTAAAAAAATTTGAATCCTACCACTGGATTGGAACAGTAGCTACAACCCCACTATCTACGTTGGTGCTGTCTGAGAAAAGGGGGATCCAGGCCTCTGCATGAAAAAACAAAGCGAAAAGCACCACACCAATCTGGACAATGCAGTAATCAAGCTGAAGAGATGTTTGGAAATTGGATTTCCCTTGCATCCCCAGTTTTTATCCATTCTGTACCCATAATCACCCCTTCTTTTGCCCTGTGCTAACATACGTTAGCTCTTCTTTCACAGTTAAAATGTAGAAGCAAGGGGTGGTGGCATTTACTGTGGCTTTCATTTCCTTAAACATGCACACAAAAACGAATGACCAATTGGGGAAGAAAGTTCATTTGATCTTAATCTGCTCAATTAAGAAATAGTCTTAATTTAAACAACTGTAAAAGGCTCATTTAAAGGAAAGCTTTTTCTTTTTCTTTTGGGGGATGGGGAATTGCCCAGAGCAGTACTCCAAGTCCATGTGTTTTGATGTTCAAATATCAAGTTGGGATAAAGACAAACTTGGGCATTTCCTTCTGAACATATTTTCTTATTTTACAGTATTAGTTTCCACATGTATTTTGCTTTTCAGTCCTCCAATTTTGCATTTTGCATTCTAAGAGAGGAAAAAGCCCAAGTGGTAAAAACACAATTCCTTATAATTTATTCACAAGTACTTTGAGGCCAGGTTTTTCATTAA